CAGTTAAATCATCCAAATTGGACTAGTAGATCAAAAGTTATTTAATATTAAAGATTTATTAAAATATATATATAATTGATTTTTATTTTTTTTGCGTGAATGCGTTTTGCACACCCCATAAGATCCGGTGTAACATAAAATCAAAACAAACTATCAATGCATTAATTTTAGGGTAAGAGTTAGCACTAATTTAGGGTTAAGTTAGATTGCAGTTAAAACTAGTTATATCCAAAATTTTGCAAGGAATTTTTTTGTTATAACACAAAAGGCAGTTTCATAAGCAAAATTATGAGTTACAAACGATTTTTTCAAAACATCACTATTTTTTTCAATTTCACATTACACCTGATCTTACAATCTGATTGGTTGATTAGGTGGATGCGTTATAATGCACATGCACTAAATTATATAAACCTATATAATTTATATATTATATATTTCATTATATTGGATTATATACTATATTATATATATATATGTATATGATCTCTTGTCTGACCATGTATCTATGGTATAAATCACATGATTTCTGGCACTCCCCTTAACAATTAGTAAATTACTAATTGTAATAAATTTATTAATTAGTAATTAAATAAGACAAATTATTTCAAATAAGCATTCTGATTGCAGATTTATTTTATGCTTATTGAAGCTATTATCTGAGAGCAATAAGCAATTAAAAAATTTGTTAAATTTATTAAATCAAACTTTAATCAGCATGCTTATTGTTATTTATTTGAATACTTGTTTAAAATAAATAAATTTGCTTATTTATCTTATTTTTACTTGTGTCTGAAAGAAAAACAAAAATGGTTTGTCTTTGTAAAAATTGTTACTTATAGTTGTCTCTTCTATCTTCTTCAACAAGTTTTTGTTTTTGTTAGCTATAAGTTTGGTTTAAATGATCATCAGAGAGAGTGTTTATAATTAAATTTTTATTTTTATTAAAAAAAATTATTTAAAACTTTTATTTAAAAATTTTTATAAATAAAAAATGAAAATAACTACATTTACCCAGAAGTAAAATCACTATATTTATGTTTTAGGGTTAGAGTGAAATTTTGACAAAGCTTAGAGTTAGATATTAGGAACCTAATTTTAGTTGGTATAAGGTTTTTGGAAGATATAAATATTTTTATTTAGTACCCTGAGAGGTGTTAGCTAGTATATTTTTGAGATATAGCACCTGGTAAATTTTATCTCTGGTGAAAATTAGCAATTCTCATAAAAAATTATTAAAAAATATACTAACTATTTACCAATTTTTGAAAAATTTTGAAACTATAGTATTTTTTTATAAGATAATATAAATACAAAAAACTTTTGTTTAGTACTATAATATTTTATTTATATATTTTTTAAATAGTATTATAATAAACTAAAAAATATAATAAAATTGAATACTGCTTAATAAAAATATTTGCTAAAATATTTAAAATAATATATATTTATATAAATACTGCTAAAAAAATCAAAGTTTTTTGTATAAAACATATCAGACAGTCTTGAAGATCTGTGTAATATATAATTCAAGGCTAGATGAATCAGTCTAATCCAGTCTGTCTGATCCATTAATATTTTTTAATCTAATCTTGATTTCAAAAACAATTTTAACTATACATACTACCAAATTAATTTTGAAAACATATTTAATCTTTATTAGATCAAATTAAAATTTTTATATAAAAAAACAAATCTAATTTATGTATTTATATTCCTTATAATTTCATCTATTCAAAAAAAGTATCAAAAATTTCATCTTTTAAGTAAAATATAACAAAAACAATTTCATCTTCAAATTTTAATTTTGGACTTTAAACCTTGAAATAATTTCAACATGTATAACCCCAACATCTAACAATCCTATTGGCTAGCGGAGAGAACTAAATCATATAACATCGGTAATTGAAATAAGCGATTGTCTAAAATAATTTTTTAATATTTTTAATTAGCTATTTATGAAGACCGGTCCGAATTGGTCTCAGGACCGGGACCGGTTAACCATGAGACCGGTTAAAAAGACCGGTCCTTATTCGGTCTTTCCAGGACTGATTCATCACTATTCAAGGCATGTGTGTAAAGATTTTTCTAGTTATTTTGGTAATACCATTTTAGTCAAACGACAAAATATTTATTTTTAATCTCATTTATCGTTATCGTTATGTGGCTACTTTTTTATGCAAAAAAACCGAAATCTGGTTTTTTTTTTGGCGGCACTCATACTTTTTTGATTCTCAAAGTAACATATTCACTTCATCGATAGTACAAGATAATGTACAAAGAGAATCCTAGTTATGTGGTATATATTTTTGTTTCTTGGTTATTTTATTAGCATATGACAATATGAGTTAGGTAAAGAAATAGTGAAATAAACTTTGGATTCATCACGCCGCGTGTATTTTTCAGAACTAGGACACTTATTGTACCGTATTTGTGGTCAATAAACATTATTTTTTTCAGGAATAAGTTTAATACACTGACAACTTAAAAAAATATTCACTTCCCGGTTTCAATTTTATAAAAATAAATTTCGGATAAATTTTAGATTTGGGCAAGGGGGGCAAGCTTCGAATTAAGGTTTCGGATTTTGTTAAAAATTTCGGTCACATGTATAGCGGGAATCTAATTTTTATTTTAACAGATTGGAACGTGCCTCTTTCCTGTAAAACTTCTGCTTTCCTAGTAATATAATAATACCATCAAGAACAATCGTGAGTAATCACAAGTTCAGCCGCTTAAAAATGGTCCATAATTCCGGGTCGAGTTATGTTGATCATAGGCCAGAAGTATTTTAATGCTGACTTGAATAAGCGGTTAATATGATTAAACGGTTAAACGATAGAACAATATTTGGCGGTTCCAATCCCTATCACTTGAATGTTATATACCAAAATTCAGTGGCTCTGAACCGGATATACTAATTGTCCGAAGCGTAGGAGGATTAAGTCATTCGATTGATCACGTGAATAAGCACCACCCCATTTTATTAATTAAATGCCAGCTAAAGAGATCCGACATTTAAAACAATGGGGTAAAGGGGATTGCTTATTTTTACAATAGAATACGTAAATATTTATCGTCCATGTGATAATCTTATTTATAAGCATGCATACGTACGCACACACAAATCCATTTACGTACGTACGTATATCAATCCCCCTTCAAAAAAAAAAATTATTCAAAGAATTGTTCTAAAAGTTTTCACTATTTACATCATGGCATCGAATCTAGTTGAAAAGACACCCAATGAGCTTTGTGAGGCGACAAAAAAACCCACTTTAATTGTTGCTCGTCCAACCATTACCGTCCGAGAAGCTTTACGAATGATGGCCAATCATAATATTGTATCTCTACCAATTTATTCCCACCATTCAGACAATATCGTTACGATCGTCAATATTGTCGATATTCTGAATTACATTATTAAAGAAGCAGTAGCTGATGAAAAATTGCCATCCTCAATAAACAGCGAAAGAGCTCGTAATTTAGATAGTCAAATCGAAGCTGTTATGACTCTAGACTCTGATCAAGAGAGCTATAGAATCTTTAATACGGACGCAAATGAAAGTATAAAAAATGTAAATATAATATTATTATAATATTCTGCTATTATCGTTATTTGAAAAAATTTTGTAATCATTACGTTTTTTATTTCCACAATAGACGCTTAAAGCATACT